GCCGGAGGGAGTGTTCGCCCAGGGCGCCAAACAGGCTAGGACGGGATAGGTTAATTGGAAACTCTAAATTGCCCTTAGGTGGGAGTGCAGGTATGAATGTGAGGGCAAATGGTTGTCCGGTGTTGGGGAGTAACGGTAATACATGTACCAGCGTTAAGAATTTAAAATACAAAATATGAGTAAAGTAAAGTGAATAAATTGCTTGGCTAAGAGTGTCCGGTTCAAATATGGCCTTTCTTTTATTTATTTATTTATTTTGCTTAATTTCCATCTGGGATTAATACAGTTTCTCTGATTCTGATTGCTTGAAACCCAAACAAAACACGTAAGAGGCTCTAATTTACATGTCCTGTTAATGTTGGTGGCGCCATTTACATCGTGGATCCAGAGCCAGCAGTGCACGGCCAGGAGTGCATTTCTTACTTGGAAATTCTGACACCACTTCATAAGAAGAATGGGGTGAGCGAGACTTTAGTATCTTTGATGCACTATTGCTGTGTGATTTTTATTACTATTAATCAAGGCTACTCTCCCCCGAGCTAACATTGTTAGCTGGCGTCAGCTGAGGTTAGTTAGTTCATAGACTGCAGAGTGTTAGGCCATTTCTCAATACTCATGTACGTGAGTCCATACTCGCGCTTTCACTAGTCCGGACTTCGTAGTCCATATTAGGGCAGGGCAATATGGCTAAAAATATTCATCACTATATATATTTGAAAATTTGCGATAACTATATAACTGACAATATAATTGAAGCGAGACAAAATACTTTACAACTCCACAACTTTATTAGTGCAAAAAGCCCCATCAATCTATTCTCACTTAAACAAACAGCTGATTTTTATGTGCATTAAAGCTATATGAAAATTTAACAGTGCAAATGTAAATTCCTTGCTGACAGTTTAACCAAAAGGCATTTCCAGTGGAAATGGGCTGACATATTGTGAGCATAACCATGTTTAATATCCACAAAACATAAAGAGGTTATACACACAATATGGTAATATTATGTTGAAGCACAGTACGTATTTGTTGGGTCTGTGTTTCCACAAGCCCCGCTAGTTTAGAAAAGGGGGGAGAGGAAGGAAAGGCCTTGTTAAGTCATGATACGTGTTCTTCATCTCAGGGAGGAAATCATACCAAACCTAATTGGCAGGCTCAACTTAGCAACAAAAGACAAATCAACAGAAAGTTTAATCTCAAACATTCATCCAATCAGCCACACACAACATACAGCATAACCCTGTTGTCTCAGC